TATTTTCGGTCGCTACCCGGATTCGAACCCGGGACCTTTGAATGAGAGGCCAACACCTTAACCTCTAGGCCACGAGATGATCCGGGAAGTGTACTCACCTTGGTCTTCAACGTCGCTTTCGCCCGAACCTATTATTATATATTATAAACGCTCTCACACTATTTCTCTGAGCGTCTCGGCCCGAACGTAATTTATCAAAGTTGCTTTAATATAATAATATATCCCACTTGGTAAGAACCCCCCCCCCACACACACACACAGACACACGTTCGGATGAAATAAGCAACAAAAAAAAATCAACTACTACTACAAGCAAACAAACAAAATAAATCAGAGTTGTAGGCCACACAAGTTATGAGTAACTCGTACTTTAAAATAGTTACAAAATAGGGATTGGGGTGGGTAAAAGATTAAAATTAAATGTTAAAAGGAAGCATGAGCCAAAAGCCGCCCTGAGATATCGCAGGTAGGGAAGACCAGGGTGAGTACACCCCCCCCCCAACCATCACTCAACCGAGAGGCGATACATGTGCACGGAGCGGGAACGACCATCCAGCAATTACTCCAGGTCTTCCGCGCGATTACGTCATTTACCAAGTTGACATGATGCGCGGGGTCACTCAACTCCATTCAGAATCCGACACCGGACAACACAACTATTCCAAGGTCATGTCCTTGAACCACTTACGATAGGGGGCGGCGGCCACGGTCATTAGCAAAAAGTACGTTCAGTGAACTGTAGTAGTAACTGATCTGTCATCGGCACACCCAACCGAGAGGCGGGCGTTTTAGAACCGAAAATCGATAGATACCTTTGTTTCGTGGAAGGAGTTCCGAACCGAGCGACCACCCCAATAAACACAATAAAGAAGAGACATAACCCTGACCCTACCCTTAGGCTAGGCCTACCCCTAACCGTCTATTCTACTCTTGTTTCATAGTAGATAGACTGTAGTCGCTCGTAACGGAATTCCTCCCTCTGTTTCAGTTCATTGGAGACTAAATGGAGAAAGGGCATGAGACAGATTAAGATATAGAGAATCTAGATCTAATATTATTATAAACAAGAAGGAAACAACAGTGTTGTGCTTACCGGCGGATTCTATTCCTTCCACGGACACACAGTGTTCTTCCATGAACGAGTCGGACAGAGCTCTGCTGCTGGGGAGGTCGCCAGTAATGTACGTATTTTATCCAATCCGAACAGCTATTTCACTAGGTAAGAAAACACCCCCACTTCACACACACACACACACGGACGGACACACGTGCGATTTCGGGCGAAAGCGATGTTCAAAATGAAGAACGAACGAACCACCTCACTCGTGCCAGAATAAATGTCTCCTCCTGACCCGCTCCTGCTGTCAGACAGACTTGGGCCGACTTTGCCCTTGGTTCGGAAGACGTGAGAGGTTGTAGGAGAACGAGGAAGAGCGGGAGAAGGTGAGTGAACTCTTTTAATTTTATCCCCTCTCTCTCTCTCTTTCTCTCTCTCTTTGGTAGGCTATCCCCTCTCTTTCTCTCTTTCACGAGAAGCTGTGCTGTGTGATATTATCGTCTGTGAGGAAGCTTAGCCAACCAGTCACAAGTGGTGTGTCTGTGTCTGTGTGTGTGTGTGTGTGCGCATTCGCCGCGCGCTCGTTTCGCTTCCCTCCCCTCGACGTCCAGACGGGGGCTACTCGACCTTACCT